CACAGAAGCTGACGGGTGAGGATTTAGATAGTGAGAGCATGTGGGGATCCCTTGCTTTTCATTCCTCAATGAGGAGTCCAGAGCCAAGCATAAGGATGGAGAAGTAGATGTAAGAGGCTTGGGAGGAAAGAAGTACTAAATAGTCTTCTTCTTCTTTTTTTTGACCAGCAGAGTTAGAGAGAGAGAGACAGACAGACAGAGAGAAAGGTCTTCTTTATGTTGGCTCACCCCCCAAATGGCTGCTACAGCTGGCTGCGCCCATCTGAAGCCAGGAGCCAGGCACTTCCTCCTGGTCTCCCATGCGGGTACAGGGCCCAAGGATCTGGGCCATCCTCCACTGCCTTCCCGGGTCACAGCAGAGAGCTGGACTGGAAGAGGAACAACCAGGACAGAGCCAGTGCCCTAAGCAAGACTAGAACCTGGGGTGCTGGCGCCGCAGGCGGAGGATTAGCCTAGGGGGCCACGGCGCCAGCCAAAATGGCCTTCTGAACTAGCAGAACAGCAGGATTACCAAACAATATGAAGGGCCCATCTTAAGTTTGTGATCATGGATTTTAAGAGTGGTTGGCGGGCTGTGTTTTCCTCCAGTCATACTTGGCTACACAAGGGCAAAGACACACTAGAGGGAGAGTTGGGTTAACCAGTGCTGGGATTTTGCTGTGTGAGTTTAAGAAGAGAAGGGCAAGAAGGACTGCAACGACAATCCATGGAATTTAGTTTTACGAGAAGGGAATGGAAGACATTGTGGCAATGAGGGGCCATGAGAAAGTGGCAGACTTGATGAAGTGAAGGCCCCCAAAGGCTCAAATGATTGTGGAACCCAAGTGTGACAGATAGGAGGAAGATGCCGAACAATGAGATTGTTTTTTATTTTTTAAAAGATTTATTTATTTTATTTGAAAAAGTTACACACAGAGAGAAGGAGAGGCAGAGAGAGAGGTCTTCCATCCACTGGTTCACTCCCCAGTTGGCTGCAACAGTGGGTGCCCCCTGGGATACCCACATCCACTATTGAAGTGCCTGGTTTCCCTCCTGCTGCTCTGCTTCCAATCCAGCTTGGGATTCAGCAGATGATCTTAGTGGTTGGGTTCCTGCCTCACACCTGGGAGACAGGTGTTCCTGGCTCCTGGCTATGACCTGGCCCTGCCTGGGTGTTACAGGCACTTAGGGAATGAACCAGTGGATTAATGATACCTCTCTATTTCTCACTCTCTGTCATGCTGTCTTTCAAATAAGTAAATAAACCTTAAAAAACATTCAAGGATGAGACAGTTTACCAGGGAAATAAGATTTATTAACAAAAGCAAAAGTACATATAAAGACAAGTGCAGGCATGTGCTAGAGTGAGCTATAACCCTCAGAGGTTCAGGGTAACCTGTTTGTGATCTGGAGGCATAAGGTGTGGTTCTTTGGGTGAAGTTGTCTAGGAAAGGGCAGAGATTTCCAGGAATTGGTGACTCTTCCATTTCTGGCTTTTTTTAGGAGGTCTGGGTAGTGTCATGCCTCAGGTGCATGAAGGGAGTGAGGTGTCAGCCATGGCAATTGTATTAAAATGATATTACAATAAGCTATAGATCATTGCAAGGATACGGTCAGTGGGCATGATGGATAATTTTGGTTGTCATCGGTCCTGCATGTGGCTTTGATACAGTAATGGTTTCAGGATGCTGGCCGTGGGAAGACTTTAAGGGGCAAGTGTAGGAGGAAGAATGTGGGGACACATTTCTTTTTCTAATCCCTTTACAAATAATGCAATGACAGGAAACTGGAATCGGGAGCTGGAGATGAGAATCAGACCCAGGTTCTCTGATGTGAGATGCTTGCCTCTTGCCTCTTTTTGTCTTTTGAAAGATTTATTTACTTGAAAGCAACAGAGAGAGAGAGAGAGAGAGAGAGAGAGAGAGAATCTTCTATCTGCTTGTTCCTTCTCCAAATTGGGTTGGATCAAGCTGAAGCCAGGAACCAGGAACTCTATCCTGATCCCCCACATGGATGTCAGGGGCCCAAGTATTTGGACCATCTTCTGCTGCCTTCCCAGGAGCATTAGAAGGAAGCTGGATCAGAAATGGAGCAGCTGAACTTGAACTGGCACTCTGACAGGGGATGCCAGATATTGTAAGAAGCAGCTCACCCTGCTGTGTCACAATAGAGGCCTCAGATGCTTGCATCTTAACTGCTAGGCTAAATGCCTGCCCCAAGCCTAGGGATTTTTGTTTACTTGGTTCTCTGTTACTTCCTAAGTGCTCAGAACCACACTAAATTTTTGCACATAAATTTTTGTTGAATTTCATTGGATACTAATCCTTCCCCTCTCATATATAGAACAGCAATTGTGACTCCCCAACTTAAAAAGACAAAGTGCTAAAATAAAGTAAAATGTAGGTGAATAAATATCACATCTTATAATAGAAACACTCATTAAACAATATTTATAGCAGGCTCAGTTTGGACTGAATTCCTGTACTAGGTCCATCAGACTGAACAAAAACAGTTACTCATGTGGAAGTTCCATGTCACCAGGAGGAAACTAACTTGTTTATCTGACCTTTCATGATATCAGGAGGGAGAGAGAGAGAAAATAGCCAATCCCAAGTAGGGCAGTTTTAGCCAGCTTGTTAGGAAAGTCCCCTGTGTTTTAACCTTTACAAGACAAGTAACTTGGAAATGACCAATAATCTGGTTCTGGTTCTGTTTCTATGTTCTTCAACACTTTTCTGCCTATTAAAAAAAACTCTTCTGCTCAACTCATCAGAATATTCATTCTTTTTTTTTTTAAGTGATATTCCCAAATTCTAGAATCACAAATAAAAGCCAGTTAAGAGCCGGTGCCGTGGTTCACTAGGCTAATCCTCCACCTTGCAGCGCAGGCACACCGGGTTCTAGTCCCGATCGGGGCGCCGGATTCTGTCCCGGTTGCCCCTCTTCCAGGCCAGCTCTCTGCTGTGGCCAGGGAGTGCAGTGGAGGATGGCCCAAGTACTTGGGCCCTGCACCCCATGGGAGACCAGGAGAAGTACCTGGCTCCCGCCATCGGATCAGCGCGGTGTGCCGGCTGTGGCGGCCATTGGAGGGTGAACCAATGGCAAAAGGAAGACCTTTCTCTCTGTCTCTCTCTCTCACTGTCCACTCTGCCTGTCCAAAAAAAAAAAAAAAAAAAAAAAAAAGCCAGTTAAGACTGTGCCTGCATGGACTGCATGTGAACAGACTTGCCATTGGCTGGGAGCGTCCTGCTAGGGGAACCTTGGGTATATAATGGGGATAGTATTGTGCAGAGAGAGGCTTGGCTTCTTTTCTTTCGCCTTGCATCTGGGTGAATAAAGTTCCATGAGAACCGAGTAAGCAGCGATCGGGTCTTTACTACGCTGGACTCTGGCTGGCGAGCGTCCAGCATGGATCAGAAGTGGAGCAGCTGGAATTGAACAGGTGCTCATTATGTTGCCGGCAGTAGCTTAACCCACTTCACCACAACACAGGCCCCAGTCCACTTTTTGTTACCTTAACTAAAATACCCAAGAGGAGATTCTTGGGAAAGAAAAAATTTACTTTAGTTTACAGTTTGGAGGTTACAGATCAGGATCAGACATCCCCATATTCCAACATCTGTAGAGGCTGATCATGGCAGGGACAGAAGAATGATCAGATAGCAATCCAGGAAGCAGAGAGAGCAGCGAGGCCAATCTTCAACTCAAAAAATCAATACTTTCACAAGAACCACCTTCTGAGTGCCCATCACCAAAGACTAAGACCTTCATTGGCCCCATCTCCTAACTGCCAAGTTAGATGACGTTTCTACCTTTAACCCACCAGTATCAAGACATCTGAGTTTAAGCAGCTGCATGAATTTGGGAAGTTCTGCTGTGCCCATGACACCTAACCAAAGAAAATTATGGAATGAGCATTTGGCTTACTGGTTAAGACACTGGGTTGAGGGGTAGGAGCTTGACTTAGCAGTAAGATGCCACTTGGAATGCCTGTATTCCATAATAAAGTGATTGGGTTCAAGCACAGCCTATGCTCCCAATTTTAGCATACTGCTAATACACATCTTAGGAGGCAATGAGTGGTGGGTCAAGTACTTATGTTGTAGAGTAGTCCCTGGCTGTGCTTTGTCCAGGTTCCTGTCTACACAAAATAGGGAGTTCAAGGAAGGTGATCAGGAAAGCAAAATTTATTTACAGGCAAAGCAAAGTACACTCAGGAGAGAGAGCCACAATCAACAGATTTCAGAGCATCTTTCTATATGATCTAGAGGTGGTATCTGGGCTGAATTGAACATTCAAAGGGAGTTGGAATGTGGAGTGGGGCTTGAATATTGCCCATTTCTGTGCTCTTTTTTGAAATCTCAGAAGTGTCATGGCATAACATGCATTATGGGTATGGGAATGTCAGCTGTGGTAATTTTATTATAATGATGTAAAAATCCTCAGGGAACACAGCCTGCTGCCATATTGTATATTTCTAAATGGCACGGGTCCTAAGTTACAAAAAAAAAATCAAGGTTGTGGTTTCTGCTACATGGAAGGGTGTTTTGGACAGTGCACAGAAAGAAGGTTTGGGTGGTGCACAGGAGAGGTTGGTTTTGGGTAATGCAAGGAAAAGGGGCATGGCTTGAGTAGTGCTGGATTGGTTGGGGCTGCTGTGCAGGCTGGCTGGGGCTGTCCCTCAGGGCCAGAGTGGACAGCGCTGCAGCAGGTAAGGCGACAGGACCATGCTGTCAAACTTCATCTCCTCTTGCTAACACTACCTCCCTGCGTACATCACTTGGGTTCCTGCCAACCACGTGGGAGACACACGTTGTTCTAGACTTCTGGTTTCAGCCTGGCCCAGCCCCAGCTGTTGGGAGCATTTGGAGAGTAAAGCAGCTATTGGGAGATTTCTGTCTATTTGTCTCTCTATTTTTTTTAAAAAGAAAAGAAAAAAAATTCTACTTTGATTAACTTCTGATCCAGTAATTCTACTTCTAGGACCATGTTGCATAAAGTTACACAACTGCACAAATATGTGTGTTTAAGGATATTTATTGCAGCAATATGGAAACAACCTAAAATTTCAACAATAAAGATAGGTTTAATAAAGTATGGAAGAATCGTAGTAAGGAATATTTTACAGCTGTTAAAAACATGTTTTCACAGAATAGTTGATGATTGGGGAAAATGCTTAAGGTATAAAATTTTTAAAATCCCAGATATAAAACTGTACATAGGTCAGGATTCTAAAATTTCAAAATACAAATACTTATGGATACATATATACATATACCACAAATAAAAAACTGAAAGAAAAATTTATAAAAAATTGTTAATGCTTATTATTTCTATGCAGTGGGATTATGAGAGATTTTATTATTTAAAATCTTCTGAATTTCTAATATTCCCAAAATTAGGTATTGCTTTCACATTTAGAAAAGTAATAAATAAATGTTAACAGTAGTAACAATATAACAATGAGATCAAAGATATCCCAAAAGATACAAACAAAAACATTGTATTTTGAAATTTTTTTTGGTTTGGTTTACAAATGACTAAATCTTCCAGCTAAAAAGTTTTTGTTTCCAGAAACAGTACTTGTATTTTTTCCTTGACTGGATTTGGATGCAGGATCTACTGTAACATATTTAATTTGGAAACCTCCTGCTGTCACTGAAGCATCACTCAGAAACTTCAAGGTCATGACGTTCCCTGTGAGGGGAGGAGCACGACAAAGAGCAAAGATGTTACTTTCCTTTGATTTAGCTCACAGTTCAAAGAGCCATCATTCTCTTACAAGAACATAAACATTCATGAGCAAGACTCCAGACATCAGAGGTGAGCCTCAGGTTCTGTAGTCTGTGGTCTCATTGCCAAGTGCAGGGGGTGATGGGCTTTCACATGTTTTCCTCTGGCCCTCCGATAGGTTCTACAGACGATTTTGTCCATTCTGGTTTAAAAGGCAGTGTTTGTGGAAGGAACCTCCAGAGAGTTACAGGAGAATGGCAGGTGGTTCAAACCGGTAAGGTATTGATAGGTTATTTACTAAATGATGCCAAGGCAACTAGTTTTACATTGGTTAGTAGCAAATCTGAAACACCAGCATGCCATACAGAGCTCAGGTTCGAATCTTGCCTGCTCCTCCTCCGAACCAGTTCCTGGCTAATGCAACTGGGAAAGCAGTGGAGGGAGGATGGCCCAAGTGCTTGAGCCCTTGCCATCATGTGGGAGACTCGCTTGGAGTTCTAGGCTCCTGGCTTTGTCCTGGACTGGCTGTGGCCAATGTAGCCATTTGGGGAGTGAACTAGTGGATGGAAGATATCTCTCCCCCTCTTTATCTGTCACTCTCCCTTTCAATAAGTAGAAATTAAAAAAAAAAGGTAAAAATTTATTATATAAAATGTAAGAATATTTTTATGTTTTTCAGGAATGAAAAGCCTTCTTAAACCAGATCCCAAATCCAGAATTAATTACAAAACAGAAACTCAAAATAAAAACTATTTTCGTGTATACTATATACACATATATAGTATCCTAGCTTGCTTTCATCTATTAACTCAGTTTCCAGAAGAACTCTATGAGGGAGTACTTTTTTGTTTTAAAGATTTCTTTTTTGTTTTGAAAGGCAGAATGAGAGAGAGGGGTGGAGGTTGGGGAGAGATATCTCCTCTGTTAATTCACTCCCCAAATGCTTATAACAGGTGGGCTGGGCTAGGCTGAAGCCAGGAGCCAGGAACTCCAACCAAGTCACATCTGGGGGTAGCAGCCACGTACTTGAACAATTACCTGCTATCTTCCTAGGCCCATTAGCAGGAAGCTAGATTGGAAGTGGAGTGGCTGGGACTGGAACCAGCTCTCCCATTGCACGCCAATTCCAGCCCCATGAATACTCTTTTTTAAAAAAGATTTATTTATTTATTTGAAAGTCAGAGTTACACAGAGAGAGGAGAGGTGGAGAGAGAGAGAGATAGATAGAGAGAGAGAAAGAGAGAGAGAGAGAGAGAGAGAGAGAGAGAGGTCTTCCATCTGCTGGTTCACTCCCCAATTGGCCGCAACAGCCGGAGCTGCGCTGATCCGGAGCCAGGAGCTTCTTCCAGGTCTCCCCTGTGAGTGCAGGGGCTCAAGGTTTTGGGCCCTCTTCCACTGCTATCCCAGGCCATAGCAGAGAGCTGGATCGGAAGAGGAGCAGCTGGGACTACAACTAGCAACCAGTGCCCGTATAGGATGCCAGAGCTCGAGGCCAGGGCATTAACGGGGTGGGGGGGAATGAATACTCTTAAAATACTCATTTTTCAAGGCACAGTGAAACCAAGTACCTTGACCAAAGCCACAGGGCTAAAATGGCTGAGCCACATCTGAGCCCAGGCAATCTGGCTTCACAAAGTTTATGCTCTGGTTCTCTCTCTCTCTCTCTCTCTTTTTTTTCCTGATAAGCCCTATCTACAATTCTTTTTTTTTTTTTAAGCTTTATTTATTTATTTGATATGAAGTTACATAGAGGCAGAGAAAGAGGCAGAGGCAGAGAGAGAGGTCTTCCATCTGCAGGTTCGCTCCCCAAATGGAGGCAACTGCCAGAGCTGGGCCAATCCGAAGCTAGGAGCCAGGAACTTCTTTTTTTTTTTCTTTTTCTTTTTTCTTTTTTGGACAGGCAGAGTTAGACAGTGAGAGAGAGAGACAGAGAAAAAGGTCTTCCTTCCATTGGTTCACCCCCCAAATGGCTGCTACAGCCGGCACGTTGTGCCGATCCGAAGCCAGGAGCCAGGTGCTTCCTCCTGGTCTCCCATGCGGGTGCAGGACCCAAGCACCTGGGCCATCCTCCACTGCCTTCCCAGACCACAGCAGAGAGCTGGACTGGAAGAGGAGCAACCGGGACAGAATCCGGTGCCCCAACCCGGACTAGAACCCGGGGTGCCGGTGCCACAGGCGGAGGATTAGCCTAGTGAGCTGTGGAACTGGCCTGATGCTCTGGTTCTCATACTGAGCTGCTCACACGGGCATATTTGCATAATATGAAAAACCTCTCTGCATTGTGAAAGAAACCAGAGTTAAGGAGCAAGAGATGGACTGAGAGAAAACGGAGTTGATACCTCTAATATACAAAGAGCTGCCAGAAATAAGTTGTGTCAAAAAACAACACTGGTTTGATTACACTTGGAATAAGTTGTCTGCTTTAGACTAAACAAGAAAAAAATTTGCAATTTCAGGCTTCCTTTGAACTCCAGCTATAAGTTTGTTTGTTGTTTTAATAGGATTATTCACATCCTCCAGCTACCTCCTACAGCTCTTCAATGGCTTCTTTTAACTTTCTGTTGACACAAAATTTGTCCTTAAGACAAAAATAAAGGGTTCAATAGGTTACCCTTCCTGGGAAGTTTGTGACAGAGTAAATGAACTAATAAGGTCTAAGCATTAATCATTCAAGGATAAAGCAGGAAGTCCCATCTCTTGTCATAATGACAAATATACTATAGTCTGGTGCACCTCAAGACTGAGTGTGGGAGTAATTAACTCTTTGTATCTAAATTTAAAGATTCCATAGACGGCCGGCGCTGCGGCTCACTAGGCTAGTTCTCCGCCTCGCGGCGCCGGCACACCGGGTTCTAGTCCCGGTCGGGGCACCGGATTCTGTCCCAGTTGCCCCTCTTCCAGGCCAGCTCTCTGCTGTGGCCAGGGAGTGCACCATGTGGGCCCTGCACCCGCATGGGAGACCAGGATAAGTACCTGGCTCCTGCCATCGGATCAGCGCGGTGCGCCGGCCATAGCACGCCGGCTGCAGCGCGCCAGCCGTGGCGGCCATTGGAGGGTGAACCAATGGCAAAGGAAGACCTTTCTCTTTGTCTCTCTCAGGCACACTGTCCACTCTGCCTGTCAAAAAAATAAATAAATAAAAAAATAAAGATTCCATAGACATTGCAGCTCAGTGTAGCATTGTTGGTTTTGCTGCAGAAGTATTGTGATAACTTGATGACTGGGAGGAAAAATATAAGCTGTAACAGTGCCAACTGCTGGTGCTGGTGATGAAAATAAAAAGAGAAAATGAAGACCTCCCAGAAGGTAAAGGTTTTTAGCTGGAAAATAGCAGTTTGTGATAATTAAACAGTAGTGTTGCTTATTGTGATACATTTATGCTCCAACAAGGATGTGTCTTGAGGTATATTTCTTGGAACAAAAAGTCATACAAGATGACTTGGAGATATAGAAAACATTATGTATTGTATCTAGCCTTTTGTGGTATATTCTGCATAATTGGCAATTAAGCACTCCCTGCTATCTTCCCATAAGGAAAGACATTTAACCCAATGTTTTCTATATTTATGTATGTTAGGGCCCTTTACTTGTGCAACACCTATTACAAGCATCTCACAGGACTGTGCTCTTCAAAACACTCTCTGCGAAATACTCTACTAAGATAAAAATGCATTAAATATAAGTAAATACAACTTTTTTTAGAGATAGAAGGCATTTTTAAAACAACATTATAAATTACTTCAGTCCTTCCTTTGCCAATGCAAAATTTCAGCCATTTTAGTGTCACATTTTATGGAAATTATAAATCTTATGGAAATCCGCAGATTCAAGAGTATCTCAGACTATATTTCCTGCAAATAACAAGGGTTATTTTAGTGTGAGGAATTGGCATAACTCTTTCTGTAAGTATACATTTTAGAATCTTTGCATTTGGTAAGACAGCAAGCTATGTTTGGCCTACATTTTCCTAACTTTAACATGTAAATCATCAGGGCTGGTGTTATGCTGGCATCCCACATAGGGACCGGTTTGAGTCTGGGCTGCTCCACTTGTGATCCAGCTCCCTGCTCATGTGCCCAGGAAAGCAGTGGAGGGTGGCCCAAGAGCTTGGGCCTCTGCACCATGTGGGAGACTTGGAAGAAGCTCCTGGTTTCTGGTTTCAGCCTGGGCTGGGCCATTTGGGGAATGAACTAACAGATGGAAGATTTCTTTCTATCTCTCCTTCTCTCTGTCTCTGTAACTCTGCCTTTCAAATAAATAAAATAAATATTTTACAAAAGCAGTAACTAATGACCCATAAAAATAAGGTCCTTCAGTTTTAGGGACACAGTGAAAACACAAAGTTTGTTCCTCAAGTTGAGCATTACCTGTGCTAATAATGTCTTCTGGAAGTTCGTCTCCACAGTACCTGAAAGGGAAATTTTAGGAAAGAGAAGTCACACGAATGAATACTGCACAGCCATTGAACTAGTTCTTATTGATCATGAAACTTCTTTCTCTTATGTAATGGCTCAATTTTCTGCAATTTAAAACTATTTTTGTTGTTTTCTTACTTGGATTTGTAAGAGATAAAAGGTTTTGCCACAGAATTTTGTGGTTTGAAATAATCTCACAATGTTAAATGAAATTTAAAGAAAAGGTTTGTGGCATTTCTACTTAGTGTAAGTAGTGTAAGACTATTTGTACATTAGAAAAATTTGAATCTATTTGGAAAAATAAAAAAATTTGTTTCTGATTAATTCTATAAAGTTCTCTTCACAGTTAAAGAACAGTGGTTGCATAATTGGTAATATTAATGTTGTAAAATTTAGGATAGATTAATTTAAATGTGAAAAAATTACGTTGGGCATTATAGACATAACAGCATTTTCTTTTTGTCTAATTCAAAACTTGAAAGGAACTTGCTTGTCCATCATGTAAAATATAGGGTTTTGTGAGTTTCTACAAATGTAATTCATTCTAGAGGAGGGAAGAATCTATTATAAAGGTACATTACATGATATAAATATAAATTAACTTTTTGAAAGCCTTCTAAAATTAGTAGTTTATGATTTTATGTAACTGCTCTGTAGCTGATTTCTGAAACCAGTTTTAGAATAGAATTATCTTAATTCCCAAGGTAAGAGGTCCATTCTTTCAAAAAATACCTCCTTAATTCTTCTAACCATACTTTGTGTCTTTTTCAAACTATTTTACAAAACTACTTGTATTGTCTTCAACAGTAGTGATCAGTTAGCCAAAGAGCAAAATGAAGAAAAACAAAAAAGCCATTTTTCCTTGGGTCACACATTTGGCCTAGCAGTTAAGATACTTGTTTGGATTCCAGCATCCCATATTGGAGTGCCTTGTTCCAATCCCAGCCAGCTCCACCCCTGATTGCAGCTTCCTGCTAATGCACGCCCTGGGATGCTGCAGGTGATGGCTCAAGTGGGTGTATTCCTGCCACCCATGGGAGACCTGGATTGTGTTCTAGGTTCCTGGCTTCCACCTGGCTCAGCCTTGATGTTGTGAGCATTTGAATAGTGAACTGCTGGATGGGAGGTCTCTGTGTCTGCCTGTGCTCTCTCTCTCTCTCTCTCCCTCAAAAAAAAAATTTTTTTTTAAATTTTAAAAACCAAAGTTTCTTTTAAAACTGTTCATTTATGCAAGAGATGCCTTTGTTTTTCTTGGTTTAGATTGCCCATTTCAGAGTCAACATAGGGGCATAGGGTGTTGTGCTGCCATTGGTTAAGCTGCAGTTTAGTAGCCCACATTCCATACCGGAGTGCAGGTTTGAGTCCCAACTACTCCATACTTCAGTTCTAGCTTCCTGCTAATGTACCTGTAGGCAGCAGATGAGGGCCCAAATCCTTGGGTTCCTACCATTCATTTTGGAGGCCAAGATGGAATTCCTGGCCCTTGGCAATGGCCTGGCTGAGCCCCTGCTATTGTGGGTTTTGGGGGAGTTAACCAGTGAATGGAAGTTTTCTCTCTCTCACTGTCTTTTTTTTTTTTTTTTAATTAATTAATTAATTTTTTTTTTTTTTTTTGACAGGCAGAGTGGACAGTGAGAGAGAGAGAGACAGAGAGAAAGGTCTTCCTTTTGCCGTTGGTTCACCCTCCAATGGCCGCTATGTGTGTGTGTGCCGCTGGTGTGCCAACAGCCTCTCACTGTCTTTCAAATAAATAAAGTAAATAAATCTTATTAAAAAGTTGACATAAAAAGCGATCAAATCTGTGAATTTTAATTGTCTGCACTCCCACTTTCTTTCATTAAATTACTATCAAAGGCCAGCGCCGCGGCTCACTAGGCTAATCCTCCACCTTGCGGTGCCGGCACACCGGGTTCTAGTCCCGGTCGGGGTGCCGGATTCTGTCCCAGTTGCCCCTCTTCCAGGTCAGCGCTCTGCTGTGGCCAGGGAGTGCAGTGGAGATGGCCCAAGTCTTTGGGCCCTGCACCTGCATGGAAGACCAGGAGAAGCACCTGGCTCCTGCCTTCGGATCAGCACAATGCGCTGGCCGCGGCGGCCATTGGAGGGTGAACCAACGTCAAAGGAAGATCTTTCTCTCTGTCTCTCTCTCTCTCTCTCACTGTCCACTCTGCCTGTCAAAAAAAAAAAAAAAAACTAGGCTAATCCTCCACCTTGCGGTGCCGGCACACCGGGTTCTAGTCCCGGTCGGGGCGCCGGATTCTGTCCCAGTTGCCCCTCTTCCAGGTCAGCGCTCTGCTGTGGCCAGGGAGTGCAGTGGAGGATGGCCCAAGTCTTTGGGCCCTGCACCCCATGGGAGACCAGGAAAAGCACCTGGCTCCTGGCTCCTGCCATCGGATCAGCGTGATGCGCCGGCCGCAGCGCGCCGGCCGCGGCGGCCATTGGAGGGTGAACCAACGGCAAAGGAAGACCTTTCTCTCTGTCTCTCTCTCTCACTGTCCACTCTGCCTGTCAGAAAAAAAAAAAATTACTATCAAGTATAATAGAGACTTGCTGATAGTCAATTGATAATTGATAGTCTAAAATAAATATCAGTTTTTAAATTGGGACCTGACTATATAAGACATCTAATTGAAATTTGAATTATATTAAAGCTTTTGGGTGGGAGCACAACAAAGATTGTATCCTAGCATGTTGAAAAAACAAAGGAAAATATTGAGGAAGGGGGTACTTGTTTTTTATGGCAAAGATATTTTTAAGAATATATCCAAGGGCTGGCACTGTGCCATAATGGGTTAAGCTACCACCTACAATGTCAGCATTTACTATGGGTTCCAGTTTGAGTCCCAGCAGATCCACTTCTGATCCAGCTCCCTGCTAATGTGCCTGGGAAAGCAGCTGATGATGGCCCAAGTCCTTGGGCCCCTGCACTCCATGTGGGAGACCCAGATGAAGCTCCTGGCTCTTGACTCCAGCCTGGGTCAGCCCTGACTGTGACCATTTGGAGAGTGAACCAGTGGATGAAAGATGTCTCTCTCTGCCTCTTCTTGTCTCTCTCTAACTCTGCCTTTCAAATGAAAAAATAAATCTTAAAAAGAAGATATCCATTGTATGTATAGCTAAACTGTATGAAAGAAGAGACTATACTTGCTTTTCTACCATACATTCATAGTGTTGAAACCAAGCCCCTATTCAGTGCCTTTGACAGACACTAGATGCTCTCAGACTGTAGTCTTCCACAGTCTTTCATCCTCCCTCCCTTAGCTTTAAGTTTCTTTGCCCTGTGTAGATAACTGGAAATTAACCTCTTAATAAACATAATTCAGTGAATTGAGGAAGTGGTACATTAGGTCTAGCTGACCCCAGTGGGTCCCAAAACACAATACTCAAGTGGCCATTTATCTCATATATCTTGATGCTCTGTCTTGAGTGTTTTCCCAGGCATCCCAGACCCTGTGCAAAAAGTAACCAACCACCAGCAGCACATAACTTCCAGACTGACTGGACCCAACTTTGCTGTCATCACAATTCTCAAAAGAGCGTAATACTGCTGACAAATCAAAAGCGGGCCATGAATGCTACAGATCAACCACAGACCTTCACATGAAATAAGCACACAGCTCTCAGCACCAACTTCAGTGTATGAGATCCCCTTCCCTTACTCCCTGGAGAAGTCTGGTAATTAAATGATAGCTGCTTGATTTTGCAAATGAATATCTACATTCTCCCACCACTTTGAGGTCAGTGTTTGGCTTGCTGTGCCTCTAGTGAGTGGACCTAGGTGTTGGGGGTCCTACAACAATGCTTAGCACAGTGCTTTGTATGAATAAGGAAGACCAGCAATTACAGAATTTATAATCACTTTTAGGTGGGGAATGGAATTAGAACACTTAAAATCCTAGCAACATTTTCAACTCACATAATCCCTCTTCTTCCTTATTGTTAGCCAACTTTTGAGGTCTTCATAAATAGACCAGTGAAATCCTACAGCCTAACAGTACAAAAAAGGCAGCTATCACTATTTTAATAATAAGTACATGTAGTAGTGAGCTAAGAAAAATCTTTGGTGTAAAGAATGTTTGTTGGAGGAGAGTAGAAATACTAAAAATCAGTATGAGGTGACCACAAAAATTTTGTTGAAAATGCATATCATGCAAGAGTTATGGATGGATTTCAAACGTTTTGCACCAAAATAAATTTGTCTTTTAATTCAGTTTTCTACAAACTTTCTGAAATACCCTTGTAGGGTCACTGGTGAGAAAACTAAATAAGCATCAAACAAAATACTGGACATTGATTTAATTTCTTCCTACCTTCCTACAAAGCCATGGACATCATCATAACTGTCATATATTTCAACGTAGTCAGCCAAACAGCCTGGGTCATACTCAAGGTCAAAATTCAAAAAGCTCAGGTGAATACGCTGACCATACTTGAGTCTGATGTGCCAGTAGCAGATCTGGTTATCATCATACTCATTTGGGAAGCCTGGAGATTTAAAAATTCGCTTTGGATCTGTAAATACACCACCACACTCCTTTGCTGAAATGAAAAAGAAAACAAGAAAGCTTTAAAAAATTATCCCTATTAAAAGTGATACTTCTTATCTATCAATTTATGTTTTTTAAAAGTGTATTAAATTTTATTAAAATGGCTTATTGAAAATTTATCAGTTTTTATTAAAAATGTCTTAATATAATATACAACACATATAGTACAATATATATGTGTAAAGCCAAGTAATAAATATTTTTCATCAATAGTTTTTAAATTTTCTAAAATGAACATGAACTACAGTGCAAGCCCTTGAAGAAATAGGAAAGGAACAAGAGAAGAAGGGAGAAGAGGGAGATTCATGTATTATTAACAGTGATTAAGTATAAGGCTGAATATATAGTAGTATAGGACTGTACGGCCCAAATAAGCCTGAAGCATGATGTAGACATTATAGTCCTATTTGAAATACATTGTAAGTGTTTATTCATATTTTAAGTGTGACCAGGTATGGCCCTAAGCAAAAGTCTTTCTACTTGGAGTGCATATTATTTTGATATCAGTTAATTAGATATGAGAAATTGTTGTTTCTTATTTAACACCATTAAATAATAAATTATGTAATAATATAGTAAAACCTCACTATAGCTCTTTTACCTTGTTATGGAATTTCTTATAGGGTAGATGTAAATGGGAAACCACCCCAGGATGTTTATAATCAAAATTCTACAAAGAAAGACTTTCTAACACTCTGTAACACTTTATAAATTGTCCTGATAGAAATATCTACAAAAGAAAGTCAATTTTTCTCCAAGAACATGAACAAAGGGTAACTGTTTGTAGTAATCGTACTGAGTTTTTTCTCACTAAATATTTCCTAGTTGAAAGCAACCATGGAACAATATGACTAAAATATACTCTATAATGATAATTACTATATACAATATATAATTGTTAGATTGAGAATTGCTTAGTTTGGAAATCTAAGCATTTATGTAAAAATAAAATTAGGGAAAGATTTTAGTTTGTCTTCCTTTTCACATTCTATGAAACAAATAATTTTGAACAGTTAACAGCTGGTAGCATAATGTTATTGTTTTAGCTAACTAACTATGCCAAATTTATAACCTGCAATATTTCCTTTATGGCCAGGAATTTCTCTGATACAGAAAAGACCTGAATTCTTGGATATTTGATTTTGGGTAAGTGACTTCACTTCTTTAACTTTTGTTGCCCCTGATTCTAAATCCCCCCCTTTTAAAAAAGATTTATTTTATTTATGTTGAAAGAGTTACAGAGGGAGAGTGAAAGGGAGAGAAAGAGAGAGAGAGAGAGAGAGAGAGCGAGCGAGCTTCCATTCACTGGTTAACTCCCCAGATGGCCATAACTGCCAGCATTGAGCCAGGTCTACACTAGGAGCCAGGAGTTTCATCCAGGTCTCCCACATGGGTAGCAGGAGCCCAAACACCTTAACCATCTTCTGCTGCTTTACCCAGGCCATTAACAGGGAACTGGATAGGAAATGAAGCAGCAGGGACACGAATCGGTGTCCATATGGGATACTGATGTTGCAGGTGGAGGCTTTATCAGCTATGCTACAATGCCAGCCTTTCATTTCCTGATTCCTAAAAAGAAGTATAACAATACTTCCTTGTCGGGTTGTGAATATTAAGTGAGAGTGTAGATGAAGGAGTATAATTCATGTCTGGCACAGCATAAAGACTCTATGAACAGCCTTGATTAATAATTACCAAATTGAAATATTTCTGGAAGAAGGAGCCAATTCTTTTTAACAACCTCTTAGTAGCATGTAACTCTTACTGAAAACACAAAATTATTATTTTTAACAAACCATGTGGGTTGTAGCAATAGGCATCCCATCTTTCACTCCTGTTGAGACGGATCCCATAGTCAATAATACCAGTTTTTCCAAATCCACAATTGGACCCTGGCTTCACAATGGGGTATCCAACTCTGCCCTTGGCCATCCATCCAGCAGCACAGACATGAAATCCTGCAAGAGGTAGGAGGGGTTACGGATGTAACTGGTAAATTCCCTCAGTTGAGCAAAGGTCACATTAACAAAAATGACCACTCCAACAACAAGTTTCTCAAATGCCCAATCCATTGCACATAAAGGGGAAGAAAATGCTTTCTTAAAATGTTTGAACATACAAAAATAGAACTTCTGACTTTTACTAGAAAAACATATCTTACTTGAAAAAAAAAGATGCAATTGGACTAGAAATCATAATACCGTGGATATCAAAACAATCTAAGTTCAGAGTTCTCTTCTTTATGCAAACAGCCTATCTAGAAATCTAATTTCAGAGATTACAATGAATTCTGCAATTTACATCTCTCTATCAATTAACATACAATATTTTAAAAGACTTGAATAAAGATAAATTCATAAATTTCAAACAAGAGCTCATCCCTGTTTCTCCTGCCCAGCTTCAGAGGTATTTATACCACCCAAGAGGTCTAGGATGGCTGGTAAAGATGTGGCCTTTGGCCGGCGCCACAGCTCACTTGGCTAATCCTTCGCCTGTGGCACCGGCACCCCGGGTTCTAGTCCTGGCACCGGATTCTGTCCAGCTCTCTGCTGTGGCCCGGGAGTGCAGTGGAGGATGGCCCAAGTGCTTGGGCCCCGCACCCACGTGGGAGACCAGGAAGAAGCACCTGGCTCCTGGCTTCGGATCTGCACAGAGCACTGGCTGTAGCTGCCATTTGGGGGGTGAACCAACAGAAGGAAGACTTTTCTCTCTGTCTCTCTCTCTCTCTCACTGTCTAACTCTGTCAAAAAAAAAAAGACCGTGGCCTTTGTGCGAATCATTCTGCTTATTTTGGCCTACACAGCCCTGTGGTTATAGAGCAGCAATATAGAGAGGCTTTGGGAAGTTGGCGGGAACACCTTTAGAGTTGGTCCACCATATCCGAGGGTTCTGAGTTCTTCCATTCAAATACAGAAAAACTGTGTTTGTTCTGAACATGTACATTTTGACTTGTTCTTATGCCTTACACAATACAGCACAACAACTATGCACAAGTATTAAATTGTATTGAGTTTTATTGGTAATTTAGAGATGTTTTGAAGCAAGCAGGATGATGTGTAGAGGTGATATGCCAATATACTCCATTTTATATCAGAGACTTGAGCATCCCTGGATTTTGTCATCATGGAGGGGCACTGGAACCAATCCTCAGGCATTCTGAGGGGCAACCATGTTTTTGTCTTGGGTAATTTATAAAAATTGCATAAGCTTTGCAAAGCATCTTCCTGTCAGCAAAAGAGTTCTGAATGGGGGCAACCCATTGTCCTGAAAATTCAGGAGAGATGGTAGCTGCCCATATTTGCATAAAAAAGCAAATGGCACCAGTTAATTCTTGGGATTTTCACAAACTTCCTGACATCAGCTTCTAAGTTTCCTCCTCTAGCTTTCTTAGTTGCTTATCTTCCTTGTCCATACATATATTTATGTATATATGTATATTTACATATATATTCAGATTTATTTTACTTATTTGAAAGTCAGAGTTACATAGAGAGAGGAGAGGCAGAGAAAGAGGGAGGGGTCTTCCATTTGCTAGTTCACTCCCTAAGTGGCCACAACAGCCGGAGCTGTGCCGATCCGAAGCCAGGAGCCAGGAATTTCTTCCAGGTCTCCCATGTGGGTGTAGGGGCCCAAGGACTTGGGCCATCTTCTACTGCTTTCCCAGGCCACAGCAGAGAGCTGGATAGGAAGTGGAGCAGCCAGGAAAACCAACACCCATATGGGATGCTGGCACTGCAGGCGGCAGCTTTACCTGCTACGCCACAGCGCCGGCCCCCCAAGTATATTTCTAAGTAAAAATCAACAGTGTAGCATCTTTCATCAGCTGAGGAAGCCAATACTCAGAAGTCAAGAAGAGGTAGACAGTATCAATTGTGAAAAGCAACTTCATGAAAATTAATAAACTTTAAATGATATTGGAATAATGAGATTCAATTTCTATTGATGTTTCTTTTTTCTTTTTCTTTCTTTTTTTTAAGATTTTTATTTATTTATTTGAAAAGTAGAGTTACAGACAGTGAGAGGGAGAGACAGAGAGAAAGGTCTTCCTTCTGTTGATTCACTCCTCAAATGGCTGCAAATGCCAGAGCTGAGCTGATCTGAAGCCAGCTGGGTCTCCCACACAGGTACAGGGGCCCAAGTTCTTGGGCCATCTTCTACTGCTTTCCCAGGCCACAGCAGAGAGCTGGATGGGAAGAGGAGTAGCCAGGACTCGAACTGGCACTCATATGGGATGCTGGCTCTGTGCTAGCCCCTGATATTTATTTTCTTAATTCACGCTGACTTGTGACCCCAAAAAGGCTGTTTGGTCTATAGCCTTTTGACCAGTTTTAGGCAGAGATGATGGGAGAAGTCAGAGAGCAAAGAAGTCCTAGGAGCTTAGAGAGCTGTCACAGAAGACTGGGGAGAGAAGTCTTTGTAAGGGTTACAGGAAAGGTGGATTGTTTTTTAAGGAGAAAAAGAAAGATCACTGTCAGGTTAGTTACCAATTTTTCTGGCTGCCTCTAGCTGCTTGTAGGTGGCGAGACGGCCGCCTTCAAATTCACACACCGCCTTAGCTTCTGCGTAGGTGAGCTTGTACTTGCCGGACCGAGCTTCTCTGTGGTACACGCCTGCTGCCTGTTCTGTGAAATCACAAAAAGTCATCAAGATACTATTATCCATGCTTCTGAAACAAAGGGAATTTGGCCTCAGCTGGAAGATGACATCAGCTATTGTTTCTTGCCAAAAGGCTTTCTGAGTTAGCTGCCTTGGTTGGCTAACTTTTCGTTGATGGAAAGTTTGGGAAAAAATGTGAATCAGGGGAAATTTAGGGGAGTTTGGGGGGCATGGACAGGCACTCGAGGCTAAATTATGTTTCTGACCCAATAACATGAGAGGTTTTTTTCTTTTTTAAAATTAGTTTATGAGAGACAGAATTGTCATCCACTATTTCATCCCCAGATGCCTGCAGCCTCCCTGGGACTGGGCAGGACAGAAGCTAGGAGCTGGAACTCGATCCAGCTTTCCCCTCTGAGTGGCAGGAGCCCAATCACTGGAGCTATCAATGCTGTCTCCCAGGATCTGTATTAGCAGGAAGCTGGAATCAGGAGCAAGAACAGCATCGAACTCTGGCAATCTGATATAAAACACAGGCACCTTAACCGGTATTTTTTTTTAATTAATTAATTTTTTGACAGGCAGAGTGGACAGTGAGAGAGAGAGACAGAGAGAAAGGTCTTCCTTTGCCGTTGGTTCACCCTCCAATGACTGCCGCGGCCGGCGCACCGCGCTGATCCGATGACAGGAGCCAGGAGCCAGGTGCTTTTCCTGGTCTCCCATGGGGTGCAGGGCCCAAGCACCTGGGCCATCCTCCACTGCACTCCCTGGCCACAGCAGAGAGCTGGCCTGGAAGAGGGGCAACCCAGACAGAATCCGGCGCCCTGACTGGGACTAGAACCTGGTGTGCCGGCGCCGCAAGGCGGAGGATTAGCCTAGTGAGCCGCGGCGCCGGCCCCCGGTATTGAACCCACTAGGTCAAATGCTAACCCCAGCCTGAAAGTTTTTAATTGACATGATTTCTGTATTATCTTCAGGTGATAATGTTTTAACTATTTGGAGGGAGTTACGTCATAAAAACTTGGAGAGCAATAGGAGGTGAAGGCAACAGACACCAGTGAAAATTCATCCTGATAGAGGCTCATAATGAGGGAGAGAAATAAGCCAAAATATCCATTTGAATGAAATGACTAAAGCTGCTTAATTTGGACTTTAGTAAGCAAATCAAAACCGAAGGGAACATCTGAAGGAATCCAAAGCAAAGCAATACTGCAATAAGGAAAAGATAGATTCAAACACAGTTGAGAAGCTACTGGGAGCATTTAGCTAACTACCAGTTAGTTCCTTAATTCTTTATCTGGTTTGTCTTTTAGTTGACATGCTATTCCCAACATATTTTGGGCAGTGACAAGTAATCTATGTACCCTCTTCCAATAATCACTGTTTAAATGGATTGTTTTGAGTTTGGAGTGTTTTCTACCATAGAAACAATGTGAAGAAATTCCCCGGATAAGAGTCATAACGTTAGCTCTCATCGTTAGCTCCAAGAGTTCCGTCAATAGTTTGCCAGATTATGGTTAAGTCTTTGTACACTGATCCGTGCAGCCACCCTCCATTAAGACCATTTGCGATAATGAGAATAGATATTCCTTGACAGGCAGCAAACACAGATCCATTGGTATTTGGAATGTAGCTCCTTGTTATCATTCCCAGACTGAAGTTGACACTGCTACAATTCAATGGGAGATGGTGCTTGGTATTTTCCCTGCTTTTCCAGATTCCAAGGGATCCTGCTGTTACGTATTACATAGTAAATGCTCATCATTTACATACAAAAAGCTTGAGTCAATTTGCTGCTTATGGATCTGAGAATACCAGAAACTTCAAGTCATAACCAGTCAAGATGGAAGTTGCCTGCAACCCCATTGCCCTTTCCAGTCTGGTTACTTTGAGCACTCACTGTGAGGTATTTTCTAGGCGCTGTGGAACAAGTCCTATCCTCAAGGAGTTCCAACACTAGTGGGCAATATGAGTATCTTTATCTTGAAATAGAAGACCAGTTAAGGCTGTTTGTAGAGAAAGGAGGCATGTTTCATTTTCTTACGAATCTATAGAGATTGTTGTTCATTTTTGAAACTGCTAAAATTGTACCTGTTCCCTTAGAATATAGTCTAACATATCTTTATTTTAATAATTTTTTGTAGAAATTATTTTAAAGTTTGTCAAGTTTTCTTGAACAGATTTCCTTGGTATTTCACCCCAGTTTTGAAATATGTAGGAAAGGAAAACTGAGATTTTTAAAAAATAATTAAAATTTTTCTTCCTGGTAAGTTTTCTGAAACTTTTGGTACTTGCTGATATTCGCCCAGTAATAAAATAGTAACTTAAAAGCAAACGTGCACATAATTTTCAACTTAATTTATCATATATTGATAAATTCCCCAAAGAGCAGCAGACCTCCCCGTATCTTGCCTTATGAATGATTTCAACACTTAGTGTGTGTACTTGACAATTATGAGTAGGGCATTGGTTTTATAGTACTTGCCAATTCAGAATTTTAAGCTATTAAGATGGATCTTTGTAGAATAAATCCTAATTTTAAAAGTTTTACCTTTCAGAAGAAATAATGTTTTATTAATTTTCCAAGTCAATAGTCATTTTTTAGAAACAGAAAACATGTTTAACGAATATGTTTCCTTCTCCTTTGAGCAAGAGGCAACAATAGAATGTTGGCTCTGGTTTCCACTGCCAGTTCTACCAGGAAAGAGATGTACAACCTTGTATAAATTGCCATTTGAGTCTTAGTTACCCCATCCATCAAATGGGAATAAAGATAGCGTCTGGACTCTACTGGGAACTCCAGATCTGTTGCTCTTCCTTTCCCTTCATTTCCAGATTCAATACAAGGCCTTAATCCATGCATTTTCAGTCCATGTAAAGGGACTGAAATCTTTTGTCTTTGAGTGTTTTTTGTTTTTGTTTTGTTTCATTTTAAATGACTATTTAAGGAATAAGCCTTAGGGATCTCCTGTTTCAACTTTCTCATTTTACCAGTGCAGAGCTGGAACCTAGAGAATTTACAGTGCCCTGTTCTGGATAGTTGCTAGCAGATTCCTGCCTTCTAACCCAACTTGCTTGCCTTCTTAAACAGTTTCTAATATTATATTGACCCAACCAACTGTAAACAATTTGTGCTAGGCTGACTGGCCAATAATTTGTCCCAGATTGAAGCAATTTCCAATTATCCTAAGCCTCAGATTTGCAGCATACTATTTAAGCCTTTGGATTTGTTTCGCTCTACCTTTGGGGTAGAACTTCTATTGTCCAGGCTTATATTTTTGTAACGTACAACACCATTTACAAAAGCAGCAACTTCAAATTACTTGATCGTTGCAGTTTGCTGCATTTCAAAGCTTATCCATATGGGTTTAACTCTTAACTAGCTTGATATTTTCCCCCATTTCTCACAAATGTGGATACATTTCCTAAATGTATGAGATGAAAATAAACACAGAGATTTTCTCATGCTGGTACTAAATTCCAAAATCCCTCTTGGCCAAATGAATTACACTGAAACTAGTTCACTGTCTCAGGCTGAGAAGAAAAAGGCGGCAAGGCATTACAAATCGGGCTGTTTAATGAAATCCTCATGGTTGTAGTTATTACCAGAGAGAAACATGCCAAAAGGGAAAAATCTTCTACAACCATGTGCTGCTTAGCAAGCACAAAACCAAGATGTAGGTTGCTTTTGCCTTCTCTTTATTTCTGTATTTCATGCAAGAATCTCAGTTTTTCCTTAAGAAGTTAAAAACTTTTCTCACTATTAAACACAATAATGAGCATAAAGCCATATTGACTTGTATTGTGAGAATTAAAGCATTGTTTAGAGTACTCCAGGGCTGTTTGGGGTTTCCTGTATTTAGCCTTTTTTGGTCTATTGTTTATCTTCACCATTTGGCCTATGTCATTCCTTACACTTAACAAGACAAAACAAAAGACACTCTGCCTAACAAAAGGGATAGAAAAGTGTACAAGTAGTATGAAAAAAAAGGAACCAAAAGGTATAAACCTTTTGCCTTTTTTACTATACTGCAAGCTGACTTTGTCAAAGCATTTGAAAGATGTTTGGAAAAACTGAGACAGACACTGCAGTTCAGAGTACACGGAGCAATGACTGTAAAATCTGTGTACATTCCAATGTATTTGAAATCTTGACTACAAATGCTATTGAAATAAAAACCAGCAGACTGATGTTCTCAATTTATTAAAGAGATAATCAGTATGCTACCACATCTGCTCTGACAAAATTTATGTTTCCATATTGAATATACAGGCTAATCTCTATTTTCTATTGAACATTTCCCTTTATGACAAGCTACTTATAATTTTAAAAGGCAAAAACACTTTTAGCAAAATAGTGTGTGCCTCCCAATGGCTATCTTTTCTAAGCATTTTCTTTGAAAACATCTGCCTTGAAGAGAATAGACAGTTTACTGCTTTCACTCGCTCCTCTGTGGTTTCAAAGAATTGACATTCCCAGCAAGAAGCTCATGAACAAAATTTCTTACCAAGCCATATGGAGTTGTGAAAAATCCCATTCTTGAATCCCCATCCTTGAGCCTCTTCCCACACCAAGACAAATAAGTAAATTAAGATGATCATATCTTCAGTGGCCGAGGCGCAACAGCCTGGCCAGCTGCTCACGATCAATTCTCAGAGCAGCGGCTGAAATGTGACTGAAACATCTGGTTTCCACATCTTTTAAATAGTTTTTTTCAACTGTGAGGTCAGCAAGTACTCTCCAATGGCATTTTTCCTCTGTAGAGTTACACAATTAACTCAGTGTCTGAAGCAAATCCTCTGACTCATTTGCATTGGCAACCCAAACTAAGGATATAGAATGATCCATCTACATTGTAAAATTCACTTACTTGGAAAGGAGTTCATTTATTCTGTCAGTCACCAACACTTTTCTAGGAAGAAGTTTGTATAACTTGGTATGGATTCAGCAGTAGTTAAGAGAAAGCCAAACTTACGAGGGAATTTGAAGAGGAGAAATTTTTGCAGTAAGTCAGTTATGGGGTGTGGGGTTTGGGGTTAAGCATTAATCTTTAACCTGACCTGGTAATGTTTCGTTGGTTTTACCTAAATAGTGTCTATATATTTAAAAGTTAAAAAAAAAAAGTGTACATAGTTTGGCAAATTCTATGACTTCTCTAGTGAGGTGGAACTTATTCTCTGCATTTGTCTTGGCATGGTATCTGCTGCAGTCCTTGGCTGGTTGTGGTCAGCTGGTAAATACGTACGTGAGCTTCCAGAAAAGTAGTTCAATGTCAGCATCTTAGGACAATTGAGTGGCTACGGGGCATCCTATTATTACACAAATTTCCCCTTTCAACCTTGAAGAGTTGGGAGAGAGGTGGGTAGACTGTAATAAAGGTAACCAAAAAATGGCCCTAGCTTCCCTAGACCACTTTAACTTTGAAGGAGATGATCAAAATAACAGGTAATAATTACCATAGTAAAGTCACCATGCTTTCAAATATCCCAGAGGTTCCTGTCCTTTTGTGCTCAGTCCTTGGGTAACATATCTGATAATATTCCATTGTGCCACTGATGCTAATGTCTGTTCCTGCTGTGATCTTTTGCTTCCCCTTCTTATTGGTCATTCTCTGCTACTTAGCTTCTCTACTCTTTGTGTCAAACAGCATCCTGCTTGCTCCTGTTACAGTATGATTTCTCCCATGTTGCCTCAGTCCCTCCAATGATATGAAATCCTTTGAAAAGACATGCTCTGGAGTTAGCATTGATTCCTCTGGGCCTCTTCGCATTGTTATTACAGTCTTGCCATGGTTTTGTCTCTCTGTGGGGATGTGGCTGAGGATACAGAATTTACTGGACACTCATTGAGATATGAGTAAAGTTAATAAGTGTCAGAATCTCTATTTTGAGCCCAAGGCAAATGAGAGATGAGGAAATTGTGTTCAAGTTCACTGATAGAGTTTCTGTTGCAAAAGAGGATGTCGTCTAGACCACGTGGGTGTGACTATGAGAAGACAGCCATGGTCAGGGAGAATAGGATGAACAGATACTTGGAAAGAGCAAACCAGAACATTTCTTTGGCAAGTAGAATTAAGTGTGTATTTTAAGTTTGTGGTTAAAGTAAGTATAACTTTACTTGCTCACTGTTACAGCAAAACTGTCACAAACTTCCCCATTCTTTGCCTGGTCATAGTCCCTGACTCTGGCCTTTCTGCATCTCTCTTCAAACACCTAATTTCCTCTTAGTTCTCATTAATCAAAAACTATTTGCAGGAAAGGGATTGCAATTAATCCTCGCTTCCACCAAATAGCTAACAACAGATACCCTTCTGTGCTCATTTGCATCTTAATGAAGCTCTAAGTATAGCAAGGTGTGAATGTTCAACTTGTTTTAACATGAACATTTAATGAGTTACTTTGATGGATTAGCCCAATCTAGAGTGGAGCATTTCTTTCCTCCTCCCAGCTCTCATGCAGAATGTAAATATTTCCCCTTACCTCTGTACAGCGTTTGAAAAGCTTGCCCTCCTTATCATGAAGGAAACCGAAAACAATGCCTAATGGTGTGGGCTCTGAGCTGGTGTTCAGTTCTAGTGTGGAAGGAAAGCGGAAATGGGTTTTTATATGGAAAAGATGCAGCAGGTAATCCAGGCAAGGACAAAAGGGAGAAGAAGAAAAAAAAAAAAGGAATAGCAAATAGCAAAGGGAGTGTTGTTTATGAACTTACTTTGGAAGTTGCTTGAGAAGAACTCCCCCAGCAAGCCCCTAGTAAGCAGCACCCGGAATGTGCCTCTTGAGGAGCTGAGAGAACATATGTGGATACACGTTCCTTTCCTGGGCTCGGAAGGCTTCACCAGTCAGTCAAAAGTGCTGCTTTTGCTTTCCTGGATAAGTGACCCCTTCCTGCAATCTCTTGATCTTTGGGTCAGCAGGTGCAGTGGCTCCTTATCCACCTGTCATCACTGGCTGAGATCTCAGCAAGAGCAGGACAGTGCTTTTTTGTACAGGCAGCTCCTCTTTTGGTTACTTTTCTACAGTGTTCCAATACCCATAAGGCTAAGCAGCTACTAGACTACTAGACTTTAGGTAAAGGCGTGTTGGGGAATACTCCACATGTGAATTAAGGTAGCACTGTACTGAACAAACTTAAGATCTCCTAAGCTGGCATGGTGGTTTAGTGATTCACTACTGTATAAGCTTTAAAATAAAGCAAGACTCTAAAGTCAAATCTGAAACATCTATTCTCTAATAGTTGTATTTTAAATCCATTTGATATACTCAGTATCAGCCCACAGGGAGGAGAGGGCTACTGGGTGAATGTGGACAGAGGGAGAAAAGAGAAAGAGCGGGAAGGGAAACCAGTCAGAAGAAATCACATGTCTGATGATACTGTAAGAAGACTGGATTTGAATAGTGAGACAATGTCAGAAAATGGATTTTTTAGAACGCAGGATGAAAAACCACAACATAAATTATATTGTTTATTGATCACATTTTTGTAATCTTGGAAAGAGAAGGCTAAAGCAAGATGGGGAGAAAAGAGAAGGGTGGAGCTCAGTGCGTTACAAAATAAGTCAGTGGAGGACATCTTCCACACTGCCAGTAAGGACATGAAATGACAGTACAGGAATAGCCACCCACCCTAGGATCTGCATGTGGGTTAGGATGGGAAAAGAGGACATAAAAGAATTAAACTCATTGCTTATGAGTGTGATTCAAGATGACTGGAGAGAAATTGTTATGCATGGCACGGAACCAAGCACACTTACATTTGAAACCCAAGTAAAAATATGCTCACTTAAAATCTCTTTTTAAACACTTTTTAAAAATTTATTTATTTATTTTTAAGGGATACAGATTTCATAAGTACAACTTTAGGAATATAGTTATTACTCCCACCATACCTGCCCTCTCACCTACACTCCCACCCTTCCTCCTCCTCCCTCTCCCCTTCCCAGTCCCATTCTCCATTAAGGTTCATTTTCAATTAACTTTATACACAAAGACCAGATCTATACTAAGTAAAGGTTTTAACAGTTTGCACACACAATCACACACACACAAACTGAGAATTAGTTTTACAGTTAACTCTCATGATACAACTCATAGAGGACAGAGGTCCTGCATGGGGAGTTAGTGCACAGTGACTCCTGTTGTTAATTTTAAACATTTTAAAAAGTTAGATTATGAAATATGAAGTTCAGAGTGAAGCTATCTTGATAAGGAAAAGATATGTGCAAGTATATGAGAAGAACAAGTCTAGAAAAAGACATGCAAACATCAAGTATCTTTGATTCAGTTATGCTTTCATGATTGAATGCTTTCTAATTTCTGTTTCTTCTCTTTTTTTCTTTTTTGTATTAAAAATTTTGTTTGACAATTATATATCATTTGTTTAGTAAACATGTTTTATTGTGTTATACGTGAAAAATTTATGATGCACATATATGTATTTAAAAGCATTGATTTAATTGACGGGACAATCAAACTGTAAAAAGCATGACTAGAACAGAGAATTAAAATTTACAAGTTCCTGAGAACACTGAGCATTGTGTATTTAATTACATAAATGGATGGTAAGATTAACAATCTTTCCAGGGGTAGATGTTTGGCACAGCAGTTAAGTCACTACTTGGAATGCCCGCATCACATATCTAAGTCCCTGGTTTGAGTTCCTGATCCTGTAGTTCTGATCCAGCATCCTGGGAAGTGGCAGGTGATGGCTCAAGTACTTGGGACACTGCTACCCACAGGGTAGACCTGGATGCAGTTCCAACTCCCTGTTTCAGGGCCATCAGGAAGTGAATTAGCAAACGGAAGGTGTCAGGTGTCAGGTGTCATTCTCTCTTCTCTCTTTCTGTCTCTGCCTCCATGCCTTTCAAATAACATGGAAATAAATAAACAAAAAAGTCTTTTCAAGGAAAGAGATTAGTCATTATGAGTTGACAGGCAAATCCTAATTCATAAATTTGTGCTAGCGTTACATGGTATAGTTGGTCCCTTTTGGATTACTCTACAGGGCACTTGGGATGTATCTTGGCCTTAGCCTCCACACAGACAATTTTTTTGCAAGTTTACTGAAGAAGCCGGCTCTGTGGCGTAATAAGTTAAGCCTCTGCCTATGGTGCTGGCATCTCATATGGGTGCTGGTTTGTGTCCCGGCTGCTCCTGCTATGGCCTAGCAAAGCAGCAGAAGATGGCTCAAGTCCTTGGGCCTCTGCACCTGTGTGGGAGACCCAGCAGAAGCTCCTGGCTCCTGACTTCTGATAGGCCCAGCTCTGGCCGTTGTGGCCATCTGGGGAGTGAACAGTGGATGAAAGACCTCTCTCTCTAACTCTGCCTTTCAAATAAATAATTAAATAAATCTTTAAAAAAAAGGGTTTGTTCTTTATTTTTTTTTTAATTATTTTTTTGGAGGTCTTAGGGAAACTGCCAGTAAGGACATAAAATGACAGTACAGGAATACCCCACCCACTCTAGGATCTGCTTGTGGGTTAGGGTGGGAAAAGAGGACATAAAAGAATTAAACTCATTCCTTACGAATGTAATCCAAGATGTTTGGAGAGAAATTGTTTTGCATGGCACAGAACCAAGCACACTTACATTTGAAACCCAAGTAAAAATATGCTCACTTAAAATCTTCTTTTAAACATTTTTAAAATAAATAATAAATATGCTGTATATTA